CCAGATCTCCATCACTTGTCGCCTCCTCCAGGAAGCCTTCCCTGACTGGCACCTGAACCTCTCCTTCGTGGCAAAGGCCACACTTGGGTTTTTCACTTTGCTTGGGGTATGTCCTGGGGCAGAGTCTGGCCCTCGGTGGACCCAGGAAAGGTTGGACAGGTTAATGAATGCGGGGGTCAAGGAGGGGTGAATGAGAGAACAGTGGTGGAGGATGAGGCCCAGAATGAGGGCTGCTGGCACTCCAGTGGAAGGGCAGGGCCACGTGGTCCATCAGCGTCCACCCCGCCCCCAGGCCAGGGGGCCTGCCTTCAAAATCCAGCCCTGACGCAGGAGGGGCTCCAGGGCAGGTTTCTGGGCCTCTGTCTTCTGCTCTGTAAATGGGGTATAAGAAAAAGGACCTTCCCAGAGAGGCATAAAGGACCCACGTAATGGGCGGGCACAGGGCGGGGCCTCAGGTAAAGAATCACACTGTGGTCAGGCCCCGAGTTGGGTGGGGGGCTCCTGGGGACTCTGCCCTGGTTCTTTCACATGTTTCCAGTGGTCTTGGGGTGCGGGTAGTCACCTCCACTGCATGCAGGTGCAGTCTGCAGGACCAGCTGGGACCAGCGGGAGGCCCAGGGTCTCGGGACTCCCCGTCCAGTGCTCGGAGACACCCTCACCAACTCCCTGCCCGACAGGTCTGCCTAGGGGCCAAAGTCTGGGGGGATTTTGTCCCCTCCACAGAGAACAGCTCCGGCTCTGTTAGAGGTGGTCATTCAAAGCCACCACCCCCCCCGCCCCACCAGCTGCCTCGCCATCAGAGCCAGGAGGGGCCATTAGTCGTGCAGCTCGGGGACTCGGAAGGGAGCGGGATCATCCCGCCACACAGAGCCTGTCTCCGTAATTCAGTCTTAAAGCATGAAGAACGGGAGTTGATGAAATTCTGCTATCAGCGCCCAGCCAATATGCAAACTATCTCGCCCCCAATCAAATAGCTATTATGTTTTCATTTCCATTTCCACGTCCGGCTTAATGAGCAGGAGACGGATCAGCGCGGGGCGTCTGCTCGCCGTGATAACTGAGGGGCTCTGGGCAGCGGGGGCAGCTCTGCGACCGCCATTATCACCACGGGCACCCCGAGACGGGGTCCAGCCTTGGGCACTGGCCTCTCCACCCTGCTGGGCTGTGCGGCCGGCGTCACCCTCGATCCAGGCGTCCGGAGGGTGAAGGGAGGCACAGGGCCACCCTGGTGCAGAGGCGGCTTTGCCTGAGCCAGCGTCTGCAGGGGTAGCATGTCTGGGGAGGGTCCTGCCCTGCCCGCCCCCTCCACTGCTTCCTCACGGGGGCCATGGGCAAGTCACTTCACCTTGCTGGGCCTCAGTTTACTCATCTGCAAAGTGGGCATGACCTCTGGGTGGTGTTGAGAAGCTGGGAGGAGATCTGCCCATCATGACCGGCTCAGGGCCCCGCCGGCCCCCTCCCCACCCCTGTGCAGTCCACACACGCTTTCCCCACCACCCCTACAGTCCGGGCCACCGGGCCGGGGTGGTTAAAGGAGAACATTGTAAAATGCTGAGCACAGGGCTGGTGTACGACAGGTGATGCTTAATAACCGCACGCCCCCCATCCCATTCCCCAGGCCCTACTGCACAGCAGGTGACAGCTAATGTTTGGTGCGTACTTAAGTACACGCTTCACCCTGTGACATAGGAGCTGTTGTGGTTTCCGAGCACAGAGAGGTAGAGTGACTTGCCTGAGGTCACACTGCACGGACTTGCATGGATTGGCCTGGCCTAGCTGTTGGGATCTTTGCCAGAGAGCGTCCCCCAGGGGCCAGGCGGGGCTCATTCCTGGCCCAGGGCAGCCGGGGAAGCAGCAGCGTCTCTCTGCTGGGTGGCCGGTGGAGGAACCCTCCTCCCCAAGCCCCCGGTGGAGTGGGACCCCAGGGTGACCCGGGGGCGGGATGGCACGCTCAGCCTTGGCCGTGACACGTACCCTCATGGGCTCAGAGCGATTTGCTGGTTGGCGGCTGTCTCCGACATTATCAGAGCGGGTTTAATTGTGCTGGAACTGAATTAGCGGCATTAGAATAAATTGCTGCAGCCCGGCAGCCTCTTTCTTCACGCTCGTCGTCACGCCTTTGTGCGGCGCGGGGGCCTTTGTTCTCCCATAAACGGACCCGCCACGAGCTTGGGGCCTCCCTGGGTGGCTGAGGCCCGCCTGAGCGGGGCCCTGACAGTCGGAGCTGCATCCCTGGGTTGGGCAGGGGTGGGGAGGGGGGCGTCAGCTCTGCCCCGACGCTCTGGTCCCTGCGGGCGCTGAGAGCAAGTGGCTTCATACCCGTTCACCGGAGCAGGTGACTGAGGCCCTGAGGTCCTATGGCCATTCAGCTACGGTCCGTCCCCTTGGAGCTCTCATGAGCCCAGGAGGCACAAGCCCGTCTCAGGCTGACCCCAGAGGCCTTTGTGCTGCCCACCGAGGCTGGGATGGCTGCCAGGCCACTGGCCACCGTGACCAGCGGTACCTGCCCAGCACCAACCCCACAGGCGGGGCAGCTTGAGGCCAGCCTCCCCCGCAGCCTCTGCTTTCCTGCCCAGATGCATGCCAAGGCAGGCCACGGCAGGTCGGGCCTCCCACCTGTCCCAGGGGCCACGTTGGACCAGCTGGGCTGTGCCCAGTCCACCTCAGAGGCTCGTCTGTCCATGTGGGTGCGTTGACAAGAAAGCACAAGACTCGGCCTGGGGCTGGTTCTGTGCGGTCTCGGCCTGGCCACGGGGTGGTGAGCACCTGCCCATCTCCTGTAATTACGGCTCCGGGGTGTCCCCGGGGAGGCTGGGACTCAGGTCCGGAGCTGGAGTCCAGACGGCTGCAGCCGGGAAACAACCCTGCCGGGGACTCTCTAGGGCCCTCCAGTGCCTCTGGGATGAGGATCCGCTCCTTGCCCTGGCCTCTCTCCAGCCTTGAAGCCGAGCTCTGTCCAGCCCCCAGGCCCTCCATCCGGAGCCGCGTTCCCAGCTGTCTGTCCCCTCTGAGCTCTGCTGGTGGCATCTCCCCTGCTCTCTCCTCCCTCATTTGCCCCCCTCCCTCCCAGCACTTATAATCTGTTGTTTCCTGTTTGGGGCCCATCTGTTGTTCTTTGACGGTCTCCCCAGCGGGCCTGGGAGTCCCCCGCAGAGTCTCCATGTCCTGGGCACCTCTGCCTCCTGGAGCGGTGTCCGCCCCACATGTTGGCGGGAGGCAGGAAGGGCATCCGCCCCGCCGGGAACGCTCGGTTTTCCTTACTGTAGCCGGCCGCCGTCTGCCAGTGACCAGGGATTTGAGCTGGAAGGCAAACAAAACCAGCTTGACCACCTCTCTGCCCCGTGGAAATTGCTACATTCGGAAAGTCAGGTGGAGCCTCGTTTCTCACATTGCTCCTTCTATCATCGTCTCCCTGGACCACTGCCCTGAGCCAGCTCCTGTAGCCCGCGGTGGAGCTGGCTGGTGGCACCAGGTTTCACCCCTGGGGAAATACAGGGAAGGAGGGGAGTGAGGGAGGGCACCAGAAGACTAGGGGTTTGGTGAGAAGCCCCTGAAACGGCACGTTTTGGTCTCTGTGTTTTCTGGGGAGAAGGCACTGGCTTTCACCAGATCCCCATGGGGGTCATGATGTAGAAAAGGTCACAGAGGCATGAATCCCAGTCAGATCTCCATCAGCTGCTGCTTGCTTGCCTCCAGGGATGGGGAGCTCAGCCCCTGAGAGGTGGCCCTTCCATTCCAAATGCCTCTGCCCCCGATGCCAGCAAGAGCTAGCCCTATTCGGCCCCATCAGGCACCCCCGACACGTGGATTTGCAGACGTTGTCATGACTTCCAGGTGTTTCTTAGGCAGCAAAAGGGCCTGGCTGCTGTGGGGTTGGCAGCCTGGGCTGAGCAGGGGTCTGTGAGTCAGGACCCTGCCCCATGGCCACGCCCAGATGATGGGCATCATCTCCCTGATGACTGGGGGGAGGGAGGGGGCACCGGGGGGGGGCAGGACAGGTGGCTAGTGGAGCCATTTGGGAAGGTAACTAGGGCAGGAGGCAGCTTCAGCCCCAGCACCTGTCTCCAGGCCTCAGGGCCCAGGCTGAACCAGCCACAAGGGGCCTGGGGAGATTTGAGAGCAGAATAAGGAGGGACACCTGCTCACCACTCTCCCCTCTGCCCGCCCTCCCCCGGATGCGCCGGTCTGATGGAGGGTGCTGCCCTGGCGGGTCTGGCTTCCCTCCTCTCCCAGGAAGTCTCTGGGCTCTGAGTCCCCCTTCTCAGCTGTAAGGGGGCTCCGTGGAGCAGACCTGCAAGGGCCTCCTGGGGAAGGTGACGATTGGAATCAGGGGCCGCAGGCCTGAGGCCCTCCGGTCCCAGAGGCTGACCGCCAACACCTGTGGCCCCCCACACCTGTGCCCCATCAAGCACGCATTCCCGTAGCCAGGTGTTCTGAGCACTTCCTGGGCCCCGCACACGGGCCCACCCTCACGAAGCTCCCAAACCTCGGTACCTGAGTGTGGAGAGCTTCTCGGGGAGCTTGTCTGGGCCCAGGAGAGATTTACCCTCACGTCTTAGGGGCTGTGCGTGGGCGCTGGGGCTCCGTGAACCCCCCCGAGGGGGTTGGCAAGGGGGAGGCGAGGGCTGTGGTCCATACAGCCCCCAGGAGCCCCCTGAACCGGAAGAGGCACCGTGGCTGCTCCCAGAGCTTGGAACAGAGCAGAGGGGAGACCCCGGGAGGGGCCAGGACCACCCTCCTGGCCAGAGGGGTCAGTGCGCTGAGAGGTTGCAGAGCTGGGGAGGTGGGGGTGGGACGCCAGGGTGACCCCAGGCGTTGGAACTGTTGCAGGGACTGGGGTGATACAAGGGTGAGATGTGCACAAGTCTTGGGGGCGCCGCTCACGGCCTCTGGCCCTGTGAGGTGGCAGAGCCTATGGCCCTCTGCCCGGGGCGGGGGTCTGGAGTCCGGGGGCCATCGCCCCACAGAGCCTCACGATTCCCTTCGGGCTGTGTCTGCAGGTTCCCTTGGAGACGTGGAAGCTACGGAAGAGGCTCAGGCCATGGACGCCAGCTGCCCAGAGCGGGAGGCCGGAACACCGGAGCCCGAGGCCGCAGGAGAGCCCGAGCCCCTGAGCCCTTCCAGTCCAGGTGAGCCCGGCGGTGGGTGCACGACGGGCCAGCGTCTCACGCCCTGCGCTGCCGCACCCCTTCCCACGTCCCCACCGGTGAAGTGCGCCTTGTGCTTGCTGGCGTCTGTGGGCCAGTGGCTGGGCAGCTGGCGGCCGGGGGCCTGGAGGGACGGGGGTGGGAGACACGTACACCCTCAGCATGAGGAGGGTCTTGGGAGTCCAGCCCCTTCTGGTACAGAGGGGCAGACAAAGGCCTCGATGGGGAAGGTCTAGTCCAGGCTTGGACAGGGAGTCCTGGGCCACTGAGTGACCTCGAGGAAACCATGCCCTCCCCCACCTCCGTTTACCGTCTGTGGGATGGGGCAGCGAGGCCTCAGCCCGCGTGGTCTAGCACATACCAGGTTCTCCTGCTTTGGCACTGTACCCCATTTTACAGACGAGGGCATGAGGCCCGGAGTGGTGAAGGGACTTGCCCACGGTCACACAGCCTGTAAACACCCGAGCAGTGATCTGACCCCAGGTCTGGATTCAGGTTGATTTCCCTTCGTACAGAGCCTGCTCCCCCCACCCCAGGCACCTGGAACCTTTCCTTGGACCCTCTTCGTGGCAGTTTCGGGGGTGGGGGTGGTGTTGGGGAGAGACCCAGAGGTGAATCAACCTGACACCGGGAAGCCTGCTCTGGACAGGTCCCAGCGGGCCTCAAAGTAAGGGCAGCTTCTCTAGCCGTACCCGCAGACACCCCCAGGACGAGAGGCCTCCCTGAGGTGGACGCATGGGGGAGGTCAGCACCCTCACCCCTGTTTTCCTGAGGAGGATACTTGACTTGGGGGATTAGTGGGGGATCTCGTGTGCCTGCTCTGAGCTGGACTCACCGCTCCCTGCCTCCCCCCTGCTGGCCGTGGCCAGGGGTCTTACCCCCATTCAGGGCCGTGACGCTCTTGGCACACGGGGGCTGAGTAACCCCCAGGCCGTAGTCTGATGGGGGAGATGTAGCCCCAAAGCAGACCGTTTCAGAAGGCAGTGAGTAGGTGACATGACGGGGTAAAGGAGAGGTGGGGCGGGGGTGACACTGAGCAGAGACCAGAGGATGCACAGAGAAGGGCGTACCTGCCACTTCAGAGGCCGAGAGGGACTGGCCAGTGGGCAGCGGAGATCCTAGGCAGACGTACTCACTGTGGACCCCCCGCCCCCAGCGTTTCCCAGTCTCCGAGCATCCGTGCCCTGCCCCCCGCAATGACCACAGGCCAGGAGCCCAACGAGCCTCGTCCTCTGAGACCTGCTGGCCCCGGTGTCCCTTTCCACAGTGGCGGCCTCATCGGGAGTGGGGGGCGGAGGCTCCCCTCCCCCCAGCTCGCCCAGGGACAGTGGCCGGGAGCCGCTTTGCAGTCATTACTATTATCTCTGCCGCCTGCCTCATCACCACGGCGAGTGGTGCAGCCCGCTGCCCCCGGGCCCGTGCTCCTGCTCTGCCTGAGCCTCAGTTTCCGCATCTGTGTCTGGGTGGCCGAGGCTGCGGGAGTGCGTGAGGGGCCCCTTATCACCGCCACCATCGTCCCCGCTGTTAGGTGCTGTGTGCCGCCGGGGGCACCCTGAGCTGCCAAAGGCCAAGTGGCTGTTGCTGGTGGACTTTGACCCGGTGGTTTTCCAGGGGAGCCGGGCCCCTTATCTGATCTGCTAGCCGGGGCTGGGGCTGCGCGGGGTGGGGGCGGGGCCGGGGAAGGAGCTGGAAAAAACAGCCGGGGTTGCACCTGGCACAGGCCGCGGTGATAACGCCGAGATGGGCGAGATAAGGCGGCGGGAGCCGTATCTGCCTCTCGGGCAGGCCCAGCGCGGTTCCCGCGCGAGGGCTGGAGCTCAAATGCCAGCCACGTTGATTTATAGCCAAAAATAATAGGACTTTTATACTGTGTGATTGATTTATTTGATGTTAATCACAGCTCTTATCTCGGGTATTAATAATCTGCCGGGCGTGTGACGTCACCAAGGGGGGGCTTTTATGGGAGCTCATCGATTGGGGACCGTGGTAGTTATCAGGCTCGGCAGGGAAGGCAAATATGCCCTTTGGGCTGGAATTGGGTGCAGGGCCCGGCTCGAGGGGCCCCCAGCTGCCGGCGGAGGAGACCAGGGAGCCGGGGCCTACACGTGTGCCCTTTAGGCCACCCTACCCGCTAATTATTAGCTGCAGCTGGAATAATAATTACTGCTGCAATTAATGAGGGGATGAGAGGTTTTAAAGGCCAAGGAGAAAATTGAGGTCTCTGTCCCCCGTTAGCGCAAACCTGGGTGTGGGGGGTGACCTTGCGCACATGCTCACCCACTTGGGCCTCAGTTTCCCTCCCGGCCACAGGGCGAGATGGGGGAGGTGGGTGGATCGGTGCCCAGGGATGGCAGGGCCTGATGGTGTTTTCTGTCTGCAGACGCTAATCCCCCACCCCCACCATCGCCACCGCCCCCCACGCCCCCAGGAGGCCCCGAGGAGATGAAGGGGCAGGAGTCGGAGACAAGGCTGGAGGAGGAGTCTGGCGTCTCCTGGAGCGGGCCAGGTAAAGCACCCCTGCAGTCGGTCGGTCGGTCGGTCGGTCGGGGCCTGGAGGCCCAGCCTTCTGAAAATCCAGGGAGCCTGCTGTCCTGGCGGCTTGGGTGGGACAGGCCCTGCCTCCTGGCTGAGGAGGCCGGTGGCGACCCTCTGGGCCAGGGCCTGTGCCCGTTCCAAAGTCCAGCACGCTGCGGGGGCTCCCGAGAGGCATTCCCCTCTGGCTGGGCAAGAGGAGCCTCAGGTGGGGAGGGCGGGGAGAGGCATTGTGGGCGTGCGTCTGGAGGGCCGTCCCCCCCGGGCTGGGGGTTCGGGCCGGGGTGGGGTGGCTGCAGTCACGTGGGAGGCAGGCGTCGGCCCCACCTGCCCGGTGCTGGAGCGCGGGGCGTGGCTCTGAGGGTGGTTTCCTGCTACCCGTCGCCCCGACCACCAATTTGCAGCCAAAAGTCTGACCAGAGGTGTTCTCCATAATTCTGGGGCAAGTGGGGTGGCGTGCGGGGGCGTGGGGCTGCATCTCTGGACACAGGTATGGCTTGTCCTCAAGGACGGGGGCGAGGCGGCCCTTGGCTCAGACATGTGCAGATGCAGGAAGCATTCACTGAGTGCACGCCGTGTACCCGACACACAGCTGTGAGCAGATGATCTTCGGAGAGTGTGTGCAGGAGTGATGCGAGTGTGGCTCGGGCCGTGGCAAGGGGGCACGTAGGCAGGGCCTTGCCTTGCTGTGGGCTCAGGGAGGGCTTTGCCAGGGCAGAGGGGACCCCCGTTCCTCCTCAGAGGGCCATGGGAAGGAGGGGTTGGCCTGGCGCTCACAACCAGGACGGTGACCCCACCCCACGGGGAAAGCGAGTCCGCTCTCAGCCCCTCCCGCCTGGGTGGGCCGTGGTGTTGTCTAGGAGCCGAGCATCCTGGGCAAGACAGTGCTGGGGGTCCCCTCTGCTGCCCCCAGCACAGCAAGCCCGCTGCCCTTCAAACAGACTGGGTTTGTGTCCCTCAGCCGTCCCCCCCCACTTCTTGGGGTCCCATTGATGGCGGGGGGGGGTGCCCAGGTGTCCTGGTAGATAGGCGGCAGCCATGTGCCCTGTCCCCACCAAGGAGAAGCTGGCCAGGGGGGCCAGGGGCCATGTGTCCTTGAGGCCCTCGGGGCCTAGTCAGGCATCGCTAAGCCACATGGGTGGCTGGGTGCTTGGGTCCGCACCGGGGCCATTCTGCACACAGCACAGTGCCTTAGGGCTGGGCAGGGACCCTGTGGTCAGACTGCTCTTCCTGCCTCAGTTTCTCCAGCTGCAGATGAGGTCGCAACGAGGCGCCCCCCCCCCCGAGAAGCTAGGTCAGCACTGCCGCGGGCCCTATAACCCCTCACATTTCAGTCTTCATCAGGAAACTTCCTGCTGCGGTGGGGGGAGCAGGGACCACCCACGTGCCTGAGGGGCCCTGACTGAAGCCACAACCACCGGGAAGAGCATCCATGGGGAGGAAAGCACCACGCAGTCCCCACACCAGCCTCTGAGGTGGGCACAGCGTGACAAAGGGACTTGTCCAAGGTCACCCAGCTGGGAAGCAGCAAAGTGGGCTGCAGACCCGGCTCTGGGGTGCAGACCCAGCTCCTGGGGTACAGACCGGGCTCTGGAAGTGCAGACCCAGCTTTGGGGTACAGACCCGACTCCTGGGGTGCAGACCCGACTCCTGGGGTACAGACCCGGCTCCTGGGGTGCAGACCCAGCTTTGGGGTGCAGACCCAGCTCCTCGGGTGCAGACCAGGCTCCTGGGGTGCAGACCCAGCTCCTGAGGTGCAGACCCGACTCCGGGGTACAGACCCAGCTCCCAGGGTGCAAGCCCGGCTCTGGGGGTTCAGGCATGGCTCCGGAGCAGGGGCTGCGATGTGTCAGCAGCAGCTTCAGTTGCCATCCCAGGATGCAACACAGTGCCTCACCCCCATTTTATAGATGGGGGCACAGAGGCCCTGAGAGGCTGGGAGCTGACCCCAGGGCAGGGGGGTAGGAGCTGGGGTGGCCGTGGTTTAGGGCTGGGGTGCATCCTCTGGGGCCGGGGGGCTCCCTCTCAGCCTCCGCAGATAGGAATTTCTGTGCAGTGGGCAGCGATGGGCCGATAAGCCGCCCCTGGCCAACCGCCGCGGTGCCTGCCCCCTATCAGACCCCGGACAGGCCACACTTATCGTCCGCCAGGGAAGCCAGAGAGGCCCACTGCATCCTTATCTCTGCGGGGCTGCCCATGCCAGCGATGGGGCAGCAGGGCTTTGCCAGGGCCTGGCCGGGCCGGCGTCCCTGAGGGCAGTGCCCAGCCCAGTGACCTGCCGCGGCAGGGGGGCCTGCTCTGTGGCCTTTGCCCACAAGCCCTGCTTTCCCTCCCCTTGTCTGACCCCGAGCCCCTCTGCATGTCCTGGGCGAGCCTCTCTCCCTCCCTGCGTCTCTGAGTCTGTGTCTTGCTTCTGGCTGGCCGCCACTTTTCTGTCCCCAGATGGGGAAAAAGTGCTGGCCCCACCACCTGGCTTGGGGACCGGGCTTGGGGGGCCAGCCTGGGGGACACCGGGTACCGTTCTCCTCCAGGATGAAGGGGCTAGCTTGGACCCCAGTGCACCGTGCACTGTCTGGTTTTGGGGGAGTGACTGGGCCCCAAGCCTCCGTTTCCCACCCAGCCTGCACGAGGTGGGCCTCGGTCACCTCACAGAGCCTAGGGCTGAGCACGCACCTGGCACGGTGCACACTGCTCATCCCCACCTCCCCTCTCTGGCTGCCATCTGCTAGCCAGGGCTCCTGGGGCTCTCACGGACCCCCTTTGCTCCTGCTGGGACCCACCACCCAGCGAGGCCCAGGAGCCGGTGACCACAGCCCAGCAGAGACCGGGCCTCAGGGCCTCTCGGCCGCAGCATAGCGTGTGCAGAGGAGCTGCCTTTCCGGTGGTCAAGGCCCAGAGCAGACGGTCGCGAGCACCCCCAGGAGGCACCCCCAGGGCACCGGGCAGGAAGGCGGCCTCCCAGGGGGGCCTGGACACACCGCCAACACAGGGGAGGTCTTGGATGCGAAAGGACGTCCTCAACGCTGGAGTGCGGGTCTGGGACGCGTGAGGGGCCCACGGTCTCCTAGGCCCGTTCCTGCCCCACCTGATACCTGCTGACCCCGGAGCTCCAAAAGCAGTCTGGGGAGGTGCTCAGGGATGTGTCTTCATTTGAAAGAGTTGTGAGCTCTGTTGGCTTAGCTCTCGAGCATGACTGGTCCCGTGGGAGCCCCCCCCCCCCCAACCCCGGCATAGCTGTGTTGAGAGGCAGGATCACAGACCCCCGAGCACACCTGCCCCGGCCTGGGTCCAGCTTTGCCGAGTGACTGTGGACTGTGTGCCTGACCTCTTGGGGCCCCCGTTTCCTCCTCTCCATGCTGGAGCTAGGGAGAGCGGTAGCTTCACGGGGGGCCAGCACGCAGAGGGCCAGCCGTAGCGTCCTCCGCCCGCCCGGCAGCCTGGGTTCCTCTGGGAAGTGGGGTGTCAGCGGGGTCCACAAGAAGGAACCGCTCTCTGGCCAGAAAGGCACTGCACCTCTCAGCCGGCCCGGCCACGCGGCCCCGAGGCAGGGAGAGGCCGCCTTTCGCTTCCCTGTCCGTGGTGTGGTCTTGTCCCCCCGCCCCCTCCACTCTCCTCTGCCCTGGGCATGAGAGGCCCCCACCGCACTTGGAGTGGGCGGGGCCAGGCAGGGTTGCAGACCCAGCTCTGAGCCGGCTCTGTCCCTGCGGTCCTCTGAGCAGAGGGACAGTAGCCCACCTCGGGCCGGCAGGGGCTGGGACAGAGCCCACACCCCGTGTTGATGAATACTCTCTGGACCCTCATGAGTTGGTGTGCGGGGATGTGTCCTCCGTGCTGGGAGCTCAGACCACACCCGCGAGTGAACCATGGAGTGTGCAGGAAAGGGAGGAGATCCTGGCGGACAGGGAGGCCCCCACACGGGCCCCACAGGGCAAGGAGGTCCTCTGGTCACAAGTGGACAGTCTGAGTAAAGGCTCAGGAGTGCAATCAAGGCCTGGTCCCCAGTCTGTAGGGAGGGGGTACAGCCCATGGTGGGGAAGGCACCCACTGGGGCTTGGGGAAAGGAGGATGCTGGGCTGGGGGCCTTTGAAGGGAAAGGGGGTGAGTGTCAGGAAGGGGGAGAGCTCGGTATTTTTATCTTTGAAATGACCTTGTTCGCTGGAGGGGCAGGCTGTTTAAAATTCCGATATGCAAATGACTGAGAGCTGTAATCTGTAATCCCCAAAGCATGTCTGGAGGGCAGCTGGCCAGGAGCTCTCTGCCTGTGAGGGGTCAGCCCCCCGCTCCATGCCCCCCCCCAGTCCTCCTGCCATCATCCCATTCCCCACCCCCTGTCTCCCCACTTAACATCTAGAAAAAGCAGATCAGGCAGGCAGGCCAGCCCCTGTTAGGACCAAGAGCCTGTAGGGTCCCATCCTGAGTGGGGGTCCTGGGCCCGTCACCCACCTCCTGGCCCCCATGGGAGCCTCTGTTCCGTGGCCGTCAGCATGCCCTCAGCCTGCCTGGCCAGGTCATGGGGAACTAGATGAAGGGAACATCTGTGGGGAGTCCCAGGGGGGTCTGGGAGCCTCCTCTGCAACCAGCCTCGTGGTGTGAGGTCCCCTCCCCGCCTGCTTGCCTGGCACAGGGCAGGCGAGAACCAGCTCTCCATCTGCCCCTCTGGGAGCCAAGGTCCAGACACCCTGGCGGGGGAGCAGCGTGCACCCGGCTGCTGAGCGCAGGGCTGTCCGCGGCAGGTGCCACATGCCAGGTGGGGAGCAGGGAGGTGAACCTGGGAGGCCCACAGGGGCCTCCCACCAGCTCCGGGGACATCAGGTGGCTATGAAGAAGGAAGGGCGTGGTCAGAGTCACACTTGGTGGCCAGGCCTGGCTTTGTGATCAGAGCCCCAGGACAGGGGTCCCTTTCACCCACAAGTGCCTTGGAGCCCGGAAGTCTTTCCTGGTGACCACTGTTTACGAAACAAAATCTGATTGGCC